ATTGATATCAAAATTTAAAAAAAAAAAAAACACCACCAAAAAAACACCCACCTCACTTACAGTGACGGGAATAAAAATGCATCAAAACCAAAACTTTCCTACTTGAAAGTAAGAATCTTGAGAGATGCTACTATGCTTAACATTGTCAGACAAACCTACATTGGCACTGGATTAGCACTTCTCTTTCCTCTTAAGCAGAATTTCCATTCTAAGCAGATTTTCCCAGTAAAATGAAGATGTATCTACTCTGGAAACAGCTCTTACATCTCAACTTAGGTTGAGTGTTCAGATATTGTTCAATTTACTGGCTGTCATATTCTCTAATAATTTTATATTAAATGTAGAATTATCTACTCTTTTCAAGATCTTCCCGGGATACATTCAAGAAAATCCCTTCTTTCCCAAAACACAGTTTATCTTTTTCACCCCATGGCAAGAATCATAATTAATAAGGAAGAGACATACAACTTCTCAGGTGGCAATTTAATTCACTAATTTGCAAAATTTTCTTCTGTTTAGGAAGTACAGGTTTTGAGTTATGGCATTCCGATACGCTAGCAACCTTTTAAGGGTTTTTCCTGACTCTTGTTTTTTCATACTATTAGTCGTTAGTCTTTCAGAGAGAAATGTTGAAAAGAAATGTGAAGATAAGGAATGGTTGAAGGTAAAATGAAAATTTATTACACTCAAATAATTCATGCTTCCTCTCCTATCATTACTATTGCCCATATAATGCCTTAAGCGGGCACTGAATCTTATATTTCATGTATAATTAAGGTCTCAGCAGAATAGGCAAAGTTGTATTTTGCCGTTTTACAGCATTTGGTCTCAAGTTTCAACATCGCTTTCCATTTTATGGTCAATAAGACATATTACAAGCCTGCCCTCCCAAAACATATGCCAAGCTGCTTTTAAAACATTATTTATTCTTTAGTAGCAGTAAGGGCAGAAGATGTGGAGATAGTAAACTCCTTCTCTCTAAGCTATTGAGATCTTAATTCTTGCAAGAGAAGAGTTCTGATGAGCGACATAGTTATCTTCAACTTTAGAAGAAAGTAATAAAGATGTATATTTAAAACCCTTCTGCACTGCAGTAGCTTAGGCTTGGCTCACTGTCACATTTCACTTTAAGTAGCTTAGGTACCAAAGGAAAGACAACGAAATGTGGCCTGGATAGATCTTCATTTATTTAGTAGGAATAGATCACCCAACAGACTAGTTTGAGCTGAAAGCAGCTCCGTGGCCAAGACATATTCCTAGTCAGGGCTAATTCTTTATTCAAAGCAGAGTGTTTGGACGATAACGTGCAGGCGCATAAATGTTAAGCAAAAAGCGGCAATTGCTCTCTGATCTGGATTGTAGCAAGAATAAAAGAACTAATCCTTCTCTTAAAATTAGTGATATTAAGCAAATAATAACAACAAAAACTCATACAAAACTGAGGATATTTGGGACTTTCAGTTGGGTTGCATGAACATTTACTATACTTTGAATGATGTTTTTCCTTATGACACTTTTAACTGTTCCTCTGAAAAAGCCTGTTTAAATGCTTAAGTTAAGGCCAACATGATTAAAAATGTCACAATATCTAAGTATAAATTTGACGATTAACCTTAACATCATAAAATTTAAAGGACCAATGGTATATGAGAATATTAAATCTCCTGAGATATATAAGTTCTTCTCCATCTTAAAAACCAAATTCAGTCTAATGACCCCTGAGGTACATTACTGGTGACCAGCCTCCAGCTGGACTTTGTGCCACTGACCATAACCCTTTGAGCCTGGCAGTTCAGCCTAATTTCAGTCTACCTCACTGTCCTCTTATCTAGCCTGTACTTCTTCAGTTTGTTTATGAGGATGTTACGGGAGGCTGTTGAAAGCCTTGCCTGCCAAAGTTGAGATAAACAACATCCACTGCTCTCCACCTGTCCACTGAGCTAGTCATGTCACTGCGGAAGGCAATCAGGTTGGTCAAGCATGATTTCCTGCCCTCGTTTCGGCTTTGTAAATTCATGCTGACTACTCCCAAACAATTTCTTGTCCTTCATATGTTTGGAAATGGTTTCTGAGATTATTTACTCCATCACCATCCCAAGAAACAAGATGAGGCCGACTGGCCTGGAGCTGCCTGGATCCTCCTTCTTCCAGATAGGAATGACATTTGCTTTCTTCCAAACCTCTTCCAAACTTCCCCCCGGATTGTCCTGACCTTTCCAAGATTACTGAGTATGGCCTCATAGTGACATTGGCCAGCTCCCTCAGCACTTGTTGGCGCTTCTCATCCGGTCCCATGGACTTGTGTTTGTCCAATTTGTTTAAGTGCTCCCTAATATGATCCTCCTCCACGATGGCGAAGTCTTCCTTGCTCCAGACTTTCCCACTCATCTCGAAAGCCTGGGATTGCTCAGTGCCAGTCTTACCAGTAAAGACCAAAGCAAAGGCACTGAGTACCTCAGTGGTTTCTGTGTCCTTTGTCATCAGATCCTCTGCCCCATTTAGCAGAAAGAACAGCACAGTAGTAAACACCAATTCATTTTGAGGCAGTAAAAGCAAAAAGTAAGAGGAAAGCGAAGGTTAAAGCAGAAGACTCAGAGATATTGAGGCAGGTCATCTGTGGAACAGAACAGTACAAGATCACACAGTTAAGAACTTTTATAATGCAGAGGTATAAGATTAAGACTATAAATGTCATAATTTGTCAAAATTTTCTGGTTTTTTAATTATTGTAACTTTAGCAATGCTCATTTATGTAGTTTTGTGAGAGAAACAGAAATAGAAGCAAAACAAAAGGGCGTTCTCATGTGCATACACCAAGCTATTTCTGCTGTCCTCTAGCAAACAGAATATAGAACTCATGAACTAAAAAAGTCGATATAGCAAGGCAGTATCTGTAACTTCCCACAAACAGAAAGCATATATAATCTCTGCCTTCTCATTCCAATCTTGCCCTTCTCTGAAAGCAGAAAAGTATAATTAAGTGAAATTGTAAGAGAGAACTGTAACGCAGATAAATGTCCCCTGGCAGTAACCACAAAATTCATCTTCAACTGTGACCTAGAGCCAAATCTGCAAGCAGGTCTGCACAAATGAATACATTAACCGACTGAGTTATCTGTCCTATTAGCATGATTTGATAGAAGTTATTATTTTCTGAAAACCCTAATATTGTAATTAAATTGTTCTTTTTGGGTGCCAGTTTTGGGGAGCCTTTAGAACTAAATAATTGTAAAAAACCTACTTTACAATTGCTGATAACTATATGACAAACTCATTAAAAAAACCCTCATTTTAAGATTCTAATTTATTACATACTCTTAGGCAACTAAAACAACACTTTCAATAACTGGCTCCTTAAAATGCATCATCAGTAGGTATTCCACCTGGACTGAGACATTTGGGTTTTTTTGCCCAGTAGTGTCCACTAGATCTGCACTTTATGGTTCAGATTCACTCCACTCATCTTTAGACATTATAACTCAAGTAAAAGTTTAATGTTAAGATGCATTTTGACATTCATATTCTCCCCATCAAGTTTCCACAGGCCAGATCAAGGCTAGTCATGGCTCAACACGTAGGAATTATTAGAGTCTACAATAAAAAGAACAGACAGTGGGGTGGAGGAATAAATGCAGCATTTATGGTGAGCCACAACACTGGCCAGGTAGCTAGCCATTCTCTCTGCGAGTTGTCAGCTATACACACAGGACTCAGGTAACACCCAGCAGAGCAGAGTCCTTGTGACTGTAAGACAGCTCCACTAAAGCAGGCACTAGACACACATAATAAGAAAATAATACACTGGAAATACACCTACTTACTGTAGGGCATGTTACTTTAGCCAGGGAAGCTCCCTGAGTTAATCATAAGATCAGACCCAAACTATGAGTTGACAGCTAGAAATATTTT